CATCCCTCATAATCAAAGTTCCCTCATTTACATCAATTAATGCCTTGGCAGTGGCAAGGAAAGAGCGTCCTAGTATGAGTGGCATTTAGAATCCTCACTTATATCCAAGATCACAAAATTCGTCGAATAACAGAATTTTCCCACTCATACTAGCATGTCCTCCACAATGCCCCTAGGACTAATGACAGAGCGATCGTCCATTGTGACACTAATCCTCGTAGTCTTTAGTTCACCTATGTCTAGCCTCTTAAAAAGCTTAAATGGCATCACATTTATGCTCGCCCTTAAGTCCGCCAAGGAATTTTCTATGTGATGAGTACCGATGCAAAGAGGTATGGTGAAACTACCTGGATCGGGTTGCATCTTCGGCAACCTATTGAGGATGAAGACTGAGCACTCCTTGCCTAGGGTGACATTGGCGAGGTCTTCAAACTTCGACTTCTTGGAGAGAAGCCCCTTGAGGTATTTTGAATACCTTGGCATGTGGGCCATTGCTTCAAGGAAGGGAATGTTGAGGTGGAGCTTTCAGAGCATCTCCATGAAACCTCCACATTCCGCTTACAATCTTTCCTTGTGCACCCTCGTGGGAAAAGGGAGGGGTGGCGTGTACTCAGCCACAGGTGGTGGCGCTGGCGATGCCTTCCTCGCCACTCCTCTCTTTTCTCCCGAGGTTTCTTCTTCTCCACCCTCGAGTAGAGGGTCTTCCTTCTCATTCACTTCTTTGGTAACTACCTCCGGAGTCACCTTCCCACTTCTCAAATGAATTGCATTCACCCCGACATGATCCTTGGGGTTTGTAATGTTTTGAGAGGGTAGGGGTCTCTTTGATCTCTCGGTGAGGATTCTGGCAAGATTGCCGATTTGCACTTCCAAGTTCTGGAGACTTGCTTGATGACTTCGGAGTACCGCCTCAACCGAGGTAAACTTGAGGTTGCCACATCCATGAATTGCTCAATCTTCTCGAACTTCTGAGAGCTTGTACTTCAAGTTTAGAGAACTTCTCAATCTTCTCGAACTTCTCAATCTTCTCGAACTTCAAGTTTAGAGAACTTGTCGACTTGTAGTTGTTGTTGTTATTGAAACCCTTGACCACCTTGTGCTTGGTATGGTTGTTGGAAGTTCGAGTTTTGGAATTGAGGCCTTTGTTGGATGAAAGTTGGCTGAGGTTGATAGTTGCTCGTTGGACTTTGGAAACCTGGAGGTCTTGGATTGGTAGGGGAAGACTAAGCGAAGTTTGGATGATGGCGCCACCCGGGGTTGTAGGTAATGCTATAAGGCTTGTTCCCTCTCGCATTGGCTATGGAACTCACTTGCTCCTCGAGGGTACTTGTCTCCTTCATCGCTTGGCAATCCGCAATTTCATGATTAGTGCTTGAACACCAATCACAAGACATCACCGCTCTCTTTCCTTGATTCTTGTCCTCAAGGATCACCTCGATCAACTAGTCAAGCTTTGCTTCAAGTGGAGCACTTGCTCCCACACTTCGCACTCCTCTTTCGGTGCTTCTCTTCCCACTTCTTGTCAAGCCCCAATCATATCCTTTGAGAGCCATATCTTCGAGCAACTCGGTCACTTGAGGTAGGGTCATGTTCATCAACTTCCCTTGGCAAAGAAAGTTGATGAGAATCTTATCATCTTGAATGAGACCGTCATAGAAAGTTTCTATCCGAAATTGCTCCTCGAATCCATGGTGAGGGCATTGAAGGAAGTAGTCGGAGAATCTTTCCCATGCATGCCTCAACGTCTCATCTTTCTCTTGCTCAAAGTGAGTGATCTTCTTCCTCCACTCGGCCGTCTTGGAAGGAGGACAATATCGGGTCATGAACTCGTTGAGTAAATCGTCCCAAGAGGTGATGGATCGAGTCGGACGGTTGTTGAGCCATCGGAGATCCTTCCCGGCCAAAGAATAGGAGAATAGCTTCAGTTGCAATGCATCCTCGGGGATGCCATTTATCTTCAAGCTTCCCGCAAGCTCAAGAAACCTTTGGACATGCTCTCGCGGCGACTCATTGGCAAGCCCATGGAATAAGGCATTGTTTTGAATCATCGTCACGAGAGAGGGATTGATTTCAAAGTTGTTGGCAACCACGGGTGGATGTAGGATATGAGATTGGATATCTACCGCCCATGGAGCCATGTAATAGCCCATAGTCCTTGGCTCTTCCTCGGCTCCCTCTTCCTCATTTTGGTTTTGAAGCATATTAGCACCTCGATGTTGATTCGCCGGCCGCCATCTCAACTTCAACTTCTCCTTCAATTCCTTCAAATACGGGACAAACTTGTTGTCCCTTCTCTTGAATTCTCCTTCTTGTCTCTGCTAGCTCCCTCTCACGAGCTAAAATTCGGAGAGTCCGGTTGATGTCCTCGTCCAGTGGTGTTAAAGGCGCCGGATTGCTCCGGGTCATGCACCTCTCTACACACACTTAAAGAACACAACACGTCTAGCACAAGCACACTTCACATTTAGCAAAACTAAAAATAAAATCTAGATTAACACCAAACAATCTTTTCAAGATAACAAACCGAAGTTCCCCGGCAACGCCGCCAAAAACTTGACTCGCTCCGACTATCACAATAAAATCCCACCTAAGGTCCAATTATAAACCTTAGATGGGTGAAATATAGGGCAAGTATGTTTAAATATCAACCCAGGCCAGCCCATGTACCGCTACTTCGATTGTTTGAAACATTATCTAGCGAATTATTGTTTGTTGAAATCTCTACAATCTACAGTTTGAAAGCAAGATTTTGAGAAGTAAATGGGTGGGAAACTCTTGGTGAGAAGCTTCACTCGGGTGTTTCTTCCTCCTAACTAACTACTATGACCCGTGGGATCGAATGAACCGGTGTGTGACAAGGAAATTGTGACCCGACAATGGTTAGAAACCATCCTCTCAATTGCTAGGCCAACGTAAGCATTAGAGGCTACAATTCTTGGCGCAAGCAATTGAGGGTTGACTTACCTTCTCCCTCAAACCAAGGCTTGAACGGAATAATCCCAATCAACCTAGGTGTCTAATTCAAGTAGAGGTTTGCCCTTCATTAACCTAGTTAGGAGGCATGGAATGCCTAAGAAAACCCAGCTCAATTTTGAGCCTCTTAAGATAAGGGGCTTCTCTCTAATCTAGGTTAGAATAGCACAATATATTGCCAAGCAAACAATATGCAAAATCACCATGAAAAATACCTCAATTCTTAAATTAAACACCACCATCACACAATCAATTACATGATAGTAGTTAGGGTTCTACAACACCCAAGTGAAAAGGGAAACTACTCCATGCTAGACAAAGGAAGAACACAAAAGAGGAAGAAAGAAACCATCATTGTGACGCCTCCAACTCTCCTTGTGCTTGTAGAGATCCTCCAAAGAAAAAGAACTTCCCAAAATCTTCACTTGAAGCAAACCCTAGCCTCTTCTCCCTCTTGGTTCTTGACTTTCTCTCTCTAGTGTTTCAAGAAGAAGAAGAAGGTTTCTCTCACTTTGAGCTCTCTTTCTTCTTCCTTTCAGTTCTCCATTTATACTGAGATCGTGCCCAGTTCACGGTCCCCGTTCACGACCGTGAACATCAGAACTCGTCCGTGAACTCAGTGAGTTGGATCAAAACGCACCGCTTCACTTCTGGGGTTCACGGTTTGTGGTTCCAGTTCACGGTCTTAGAGACCGTGAACTGCCTTGGCGTCAGTAACCTCAGAAACCCCTTTGGACACTTTGTTGTTCACGGTTTGTGGTTCCGGTTCACGGTACTGGCGATCGTGAACTCCAATGTTGGACCGTGAACTCTGGTTGAATCCTCCTCTTTGCCCGGTCTTTGCTCCTTTTCTTCCAACTTTCAACTCCGGGGTTAGTTTCACTTGTTAGACTCCGAAACACATTGAAACACAAGAACCCTAGCGTAAAACCACGCCTTTTGGAGCTCAATTGCTACAAACATCAAAGAGAAACGGGGATAAAAAGTGTACAATTAGGCCCGAATCAATATGTATCACTCAGAGGACAAATTTACCATCTATTGGACAGTCTACTATCACCAGAATGTTCAACTTCTAAGTTAGTTGAGTTATACATTCATCAAAGGAGAAATAAGTTGAAATGACTCTGATTCGATCGTTACATATTATAATTTAAAATCATGTGCGTGAAGTTTTTTTCACGTGGCTAAAAAATATGTTAGACGCTCACAATATTTGGCCCAAACTTAAAGATGCACGAAAGGAAAAATCAATGAAAAGTTATGTACAAGTACAACATATGATGTTGAAAACTGTTGGCAAATCAAAGAGAAGATGATCGTGAATATAATCTTCAAAATAGTGATGACGTTATGACTCTTATTGTTTTACATTATCGTTGCTCTTAGGCAAACTCAAACTAAATATGGTCACCCTACTATCATACAAAGCTCGAATAATAAATAATATTAATAAATATATACAAAGAGAAATAGTAGTCTACCACTTTTTGTAAATATAACAAAAAAATAAAACATGAAGGGCGGGCACAAAACTAGTAGTTCTTTAAAAGATTTATAGATGCTGCTTCATTCTGCAAAAGTTATTGTAGGGTCAATTACTAACCATACAAACTGAAACAATAACGTCATGAGGGAAGTTTAAGCATAAATAATATATTCGACGACCCTTCTACCTTATGCAAGTTTATCGCTCCATCGACTAAATGCTATTGTAACTAACAAACTTATGAAAAGAAAGTTTAAGAATAAAATAAAATTACTTTCACTTTACATTAAAATTATCCTTTTAAAATATTTATTTTTCTGATACGCGAAATAATGTTTTTGTCAAAACTCAAAAGTTGGGAAGCTGGGTCATTTCAGAGTCATTTCAACTTCTTCTCCTCCTAGTTCCTCCCCTGTAGAGGCGCAAATGGTCTCCGCAATCGAACAAAAAGTCGAGACCTTGACCTTCTAGACTGATCATGACTTTTACCCACCAGACCTTTCATTCATTCAATTAGTCAAATTACCATTGTTATCATTTACAAATCTTCTCATCCCTTTTTCCAAAACCAAACCCCTGTAACTCGAAACCAACCAGAGAAGAAGAAGAGGAATGGAATCAGCGAAATCCGCCAGCCTGGGCAGCTCTCTGCTCGTGCCTTCCGTCCAGGAGTTGATCAAGACCGAAATCGGCGCCGTCCCGCCCAGATACTTGCGCCCTGATCAAGACCAGCCCATCGTTTCCGACGCCGATGTTCCGATTGTTGATTTGGGTAAGCTGGTTGATGAAGCCACCATGGATTCCGAGCTCGCCATCCTCCACTCCGCCTGTAAAGATTGGGGCTTTTTCCAGGTTCGACCAAACCCTTTTACACTCCTTCACGCTTCCTTCGGTCCAATTTTTGAGAATTTGCTTTTGATCATAGAATGGAACATGGGATTGACTTTGGTTCTTTCCTTCAATTCCTGGAACTCGAAATGGGTATGCAGAATTTGGTTAATTCTCTTCAACACCCGTAGTAGTATTGTCAGCAAATTAAGAATGCAACCTGCTCTTGCAAACTGGGTCCCTATTTTCCTTTTTGGGACTGTCATGACTCATGATATCTAGTTACTGATAAAAATCTCGACCTAGATAATTTCTTTCTTTTAGTGGAATCACTGATAAAGCACCACAAGTGAAAGTAGAGAAGGGTGGTATAATGAAATGTAAAAGAGAAAGAAAATCCCTTATGATGGAATTTGATCTTTCATTGTGCAGCTGGTAAACCATGGAGTAAGCTCTACTGTGGTGGACAACATGAAGACACAAGTTCAAGAATTCTTCAACCTCCCAATGGAAGAAAAGCAAAAATTCTGGCAATCACCAGGAGAAGTGGAAGGTTTCGGACAGTCATTCGTTGTCTCCGAGGAGCAGAAGCTCGATTGGGCCGATCTCTTCTTCCTCGTCACTCAGCCTCCACAACTCAGGAAGCCTCATTTGCTCCCGAAGCTCCCCCTTCCTTTCAGGTCTCATACATCATTATCCGTTCGATTGGATTAGGGGGTTGAATTTCTCACAGTGTCTGATCTGTTGGGTCTGTTTCCACAGGGACACATTGGAGAGCTACTCCCTCGAGGTAAAGAACCTGGCAGGCAAAGTACTGGACCAAATGGCGAAAGCCTTGCAGATGAAACCAGAGGAGATGAAGGACATTTTCTCAGGGAACATAAGGCAGACAATGAGGATGAACTACTACCCTCCGTGCCCCCAGCCCGACAAGGTCATCGGCCTGACACCCCACTCCGACGGCACTGGCCTCACCATCCTCTTACAAGTGAATGAAGTTGAAGGCTTGCAGATCAAGAAAGACGGGAACTGGGTACCGGTTAAGGTCCTTCCCAACGCGTTCGTGGTCAATGTCGGTGACATCGTCGAGATCATAACCAATGGGGTGTACCGGAGCATCGAGCATCGGGCGACGGTGAACTCGGAGAAGGAGAGGCTGTCGATTGCTAGTTTCCATTCTCCTAGGTTTGATGGTGAGATTTACCCTGCACCGAGCTTGGTGTCTGGCGAGACGCCTGCCTTGTTCAGGAATGTGAGCGTTAAGGAGTTCTTTAAGGGGCTATTCTCTCGTGAGCTTCAGGGGAAGTGTTACCTCGATACCTTGAGAATCTAATGAGGGTTGGAAATGGCCCTACGAAAGCATCCTTTCAGGTTTGCTTGCAGCTTGTTCTTGCATGAGTAACAGAAATGTACCGTATTTTGGGTTTGCTTGTATAATATTGGGGTAAAAAAATGCAAGAATGCCATTGAACTTTTTGTCGTTGTTAATACATCAGTTTGTTATTTTTATTTTTGTGGTTGCCAATATTCGGAAAAAATTCCAAAATATACATGTTTTTTAAAAAAAATTCCAAAATACACACGTTATAATTTTTATTTCCAAAATACACATGTTTGGGCATCACTGCGGTCGTCAACCGCAGTGAATGCATTTACCGCGGCAGACAAAAGCGGTGAATGCATCACCGCGGTTGACGGCCGCGGTGAATGACTGATGTAACACCGAAACTTCAAATGAACGTAACTTTGCGCTCGGTTATCCGATTGTAGAATTTTTTTTAATCCACATAACTTTTCAAGATCTTTCAATATGCAACAAGCCTTCATCCCAAAAAAATTCGTTTGCTACCCCGAACAAGCAATTTATCGATTTTGACAAACTTGTTAAGGAGGACATCAATGGGCCAGTCACACGTGCAGGCAAGGACGTTGAAGGAGAAGCTTACGACATATTTGGAGAGCTACTTTGGAGCCATGGACGTGGAGCTATTTCGAGGGAAGTCATATATGATGATTCGAGTGGAGGAAGAAGAAGGAAGTGCTGAAGAGAAGGCAATTGCAAGAAGCAGCATTAACGGGTTTACTTAACGGGTCCAGGCTTAACGATTTGGGCTTAACGGGCTGTTTTCGAGTTTTCTTGTTTTAAAGTCGGTTTATGATTGTTTTTCCATGTTGGAGTCAGATTTGGGTTGTACTTTGCCTATTTAAAGGGCTGAACACGTTGGTTTGCCCTTAGACGATTATTATTGAATTTTAGAGGCTATTGCCGAGTTCCCTACACGGAATTTGCCCTAATTACTCTGTCGAGAATCTCCATAGTGCTAGAGCGACTCTTATCAGCTAGGTATTCACCCTAGTTGTGGTGAGCTACCCATATCGATTGCCCTTTATTCCGAGTTGAATCTGTCCGATCGATTCATATATAGATTGCCCTTATTCACGGGTGAGTACTGTCCGATCGATTTCCATCCTATCCGTTTCTGTTTGGTTCGAGAAGCTTGACCCTGTGCTACTTTGATTACATCAAGTGGTATCAGAGCCTGGTTCAAATAAGTGGCGTGTGCTTGAAGTTTTTTGAAGATCTTGTGTGTTCTTGTTCGTGTTCTTGGTGGTTTTGTGTGAGTTCTTGAAGGTCTTGGCGTGTTCTTGAGCCGCAAGACAGGAGTTTGTTTGTTCTTGGGAGTTCTTGCGAGGCAAGAAGAGGTTTTGCGAGTTCTTGTTAAGTTCTTGTGTTCTTTGAGTTTTTTTGCATCGCAAACATGGAAGCAGCACTCGAAGCGATCAGAAATCAATTGGAGAACATTGCTCGTGCTCAAGAAGAGCAAACCGCAAGGCTTGCCGAGCAAGCCACAAGGATGGAGGCTGTCGAGACAAGGCTCCAGCAACCGGTTGTGGTCGATGCAAACCCTAACCCTAGACTTCGACAAGAAGAAAGGGGAAGGGAAAACCGAGCTCCTCCACCCTTGGTTCACGAAGTACAGCGTCATATGCGCCAGCATAGACGCCTTGGAATGCCTCGAGCTGGAAGGAGAGTGCGGCAGCAGCATCATGAAGAGGAGTTTAATGACGAGGAAGAAGAGGGATTTGAGGAGGATGATGATTTGCGAAACCTCAAGGTCACGATTCCACCTTTTCGCTGTACCACGAACCCTGATGCTTATTTGGATTGGGAGCGAAAGATGGAACTTGTGTTTGATTGTCATAACTACTCCGAGAAGAAGAAAGTGACATTGGCTGCCCTAGAGTTCTCGGATTATGCACGTGTTTGGTGGGATCAGTTGGGAACGAGACAAAGGAGAAACAGGCAGCGTCCTATTGAGACGTGGGATGAGATGAAAGGAATTATGAGGGATCGGTTTGTACTGAGTTCCCATTTGCGAGATATGTATCAAAACCTCCAGCTTCTACGACAAGGAACTAAAAGCGTTGAAGATTATCACAAGGAGTTGGAAGTGTTAATGATACGTGATGATGTGAGAGAGGACCGCGAGGCTACCATAGCTCGTTTTCTGTATGGTCTCAATCGAGAGATCAAGAACGTGGTGGTGAACAGCGAGAAAATATCTTCCATACGAGATGTATAGTTGATGGGAAGTTGCTGTCTCTAGTGATCCATGGAGGAAGTTGCACGAACGTTGTGAGCGCGTGTGCGGTGAAGAGGCTAGGGCTGCCTGCGTTGAAGCATCCAAAGCCATACACGCTGCAATGGCTTAACAATCACGGCTCTATCAAAGTCACAAAGCAGGCACTAATGAAGTTCGAGATTGGAGATTACTGATAGACCATCGATTGCACATGTTTTTACCCCTATTCTTGAGCCGTTTGAGATGTTGATTCTCGTGTTTTAAGCCGATTTCACTCTAGGTTGTGCGTTTATGTCATATTTCAGGGCTTGACGTTGGAATCGAGGCGAAGAAACGAGTTTCGGGTCGAAAGGAGCACGTTTGGGTCGAAGTGTGCTGGAGGAGCAAAATACCCTGCCATGAGCAGAAATACCCGGCCGGGTATTATTTGGAGCAGACCGGGAAAAAGGCGTTTTGGACGTTGAGAAGCAGAAGGGGGCCCGGTCGTGAGGCTTAAATCCCTGGTCGGGGATTCTTGGCCTTGACCGGGGATTTTCCCCTGTTCCCCGACGGTGCGTTTTGAATATACCCAGTCGCCACCCAAAATACCCGACCGGGTATTCAGACCGGGGATCGCGATAGACAGCTTCTTAAGGGAAAAGAAGGGCAAAAGTGAAGGGTTCCGAGTTTTAGAGAGAAAAAGCGCTACCTAGAGAGAGAAAGTGACGAACCTGATTCTTGAAGTGTCTTTGATCGATCTCCATCACCATTGGAGCCCGGCTTGAGCTTGGAGAAGAGCTGATTGAGTGCCAGAAGCAGATTCTCATCCTTCACAGTATGGTTTCCGCATTTGAGCTAGATTTCCCATCTCTTTCTATGGAGTAACTTTCTTATTCACCTCGGTATGAAGAACCCTAGATTTGCATGTTAGGTCTAATTGTATGAACCCAAGTACAGATTCTTTGATTAGATTATATTCAATTGAGGTTTGAATTGTTGAATGGCATGAATCCTGATCAAATTCCTGTTATTTCTGCTTTGACCTAGAATGAGAATATCTGCCTAGGTTAATAGAGCATCCTTGATTGAAGGTAGTGAATTGACGACTTTAGTCGAGGAGTCAATTCACTATTCTGTACCAGATATACTTCGGTAGAGGAGGTTTGGTTAGTTAGGGCCTCAATCTGTTTACTCCGGTGGAGGTTAGTTGCCCGCTGGAGACTCAGATTGAGAGGGTCTGGAGACCTTTAGTCGAGACTACAGACTGTTTAAGAACCTCCCGCAGTATAACTATCATTGAAAATGAACTTGGTAAATTACAATCCAGCTTAACTATAGTCTAGGGGGAACCATATCCGGGTGATCTCTCTCGACTTGGAAACAACCTTTTTACCTGCTTTGCTTGTTTGCTTGTTTGGAACTTCACTAAAGTTTCACCGCTAAATAATAAGAACTCACGGGGTAGTCATCACACTAAGGACCCGGGTTGACATTAAAACCCAAACCCGCTATACTACGCTTTAGGAGGTGGTTACACTTGGCCATTTTCTAGAGTGACGGTAGGAGCGAGTCAAGTTTTTTGCGCAGTTGTCGGGGACGGCTAGGTTGTTTAAGAAACGTGATTTATGTTAATTTAGCTTTTCTTTTTAGCATTGTTTGCTTTGTCACACTTGTGCCTTCACGGGTTTGTTGCTTGACTGTGTGCAGGTAGTGCATGACCCGTAGCCAGTCAGGAGGTTTACTGCCGTTGGATCCGGAGCTTGAACGCACCTGCCGCCAACTTAGGAGACAACAGCGAGCTAGACTGGCTACGGCGGAGCGCATAGACGGCCACTTGAGCAGCGATTCCGAGATAGAGTACGAGATGGAAGGTGAACACAACCCGCCCCAGGGGATACCTCTCCAGGTTCCCCCAGTGAATCAGATCTTGGGGAACAACCCCATACCCCAGGCAGATGGGGTTCATCATCAGCCACCGCCGCCGGGTCCCACCTTGGATTACTACTATACTCCACGGGTCGCTGATATCCGCCCGGTCATCCTCTATCCACCTATTTCAGCGAACAACTTCGAGATCAAGCCATGCTGGATTCAGCTCATTACATCCTCTGTCCAGTTTCATGGCTTGAAGGATGAGGAGGCAAGGGTGCATCGTTCCCGTTTCCTGCAGCTGACGAAAGGGTTCAAGATGAACGGTGTACCCGATGATGCGATTCGCCTTCACCTCTTCCCCCATTCTTTGGCGGGGCATGCTAAGAGGTGGTTGGAGACCCAGCCCCCACTGTCCATCACTTCTTGGGACGATCTGGCCAACAAGTTCGTGCACATACTATCCGGCATTGAAGACCACAGAGATCCAGCGCGAGATCACTCACTTCCGCCAAGAGCCAGATGAGTCACTTCGTGATGCATGGGAGCGGTACTCGGGAATTTTCTGGCAGTGTCCCCATCATGGCTTCAGTGATGCATTCACCATGGGGAACTTCTACAGTGCTCTCTCTCCGGAAAGCCAGAGGGTGATTGAGTCTCTATGCCCAGGAGGGGATATTCTTACTAAGACTCCACCCGAACTGAACCAGATGATCAGTACCTTGGCTGCCAGAGATCATTCCTGGGGGCAGAGCACCAGAGGCAGGAGCTCTCGAGATCGAGGCGTGCATGCCATGGAGGCCAGGTCTGGGCTAGAGCGGGAGGTGGCTGAATTAGTGCAGACATTGAAGCAGCCCAACAGTCTTATTCCGGGCAGAGGGTTGGTTGTACCTCCAGTAGCTCAATGTCAGTGGTGTGAGAGCTCGAACCATCTGGTGGAAGACTGCCAGGCTGTGCGGGAGTCTTCTACTCCCCAAGAGCAGTTGGACTTCATCGCCAATGCTCGGCGCCTTGACCTATACAACAACACATACAATGAGGGGTGGTGCCAGCATCCCAACTTTGCTTGGAATAGCAACACCACTAGACCACCT